TGAAAAGAAATGGGAGAAAATTTATAAACATTGCCGTAAGGATTTGATTCAGAACTCGGAAGAGAATTAAAATCAGATAATATTATTGTTAGAATGAGTATAGAAGGGATCTGGTTTATGAATTACAATTTTATGTTTATGAATGTTTAATAAACTAACAATATGTGAAGGGAAGTTGATCTTATAGAAAGAGGGAGGAACGGTTTAGAAAACAATATTTCAGTGTATTATGATATATAAAACTTGTATACTATAGTTTTCTAGAGAATTTATAATAGAGCAAGTTAAGTATGTCTTTTCTCTTTTATAATAATAATAATAATAATAATAATAATAATAATAATAAGAGGGCCAGTGTGGTACAGTGGTTTGAGCATTGGACTACAACTCGGGGAGACCAGGGTTCAAATCCCTGCTGGGCCATGGAAACTTACTGGTGGACTTTGGCCAAGTCACACTCTCTCAGCCTCAGAGGAAGGCAATTGCAAACTCCCTCTGAATAACAATAACTCATGATAGGTTCACCTTAGGGTTGCCATAAGTAAAAAACAAAAACAAAACCTTGAAGGACACAACAACAATATAGTGTGAAGATTTGTATGTCTTCACAGCAGCCCTCAACTTATATTTATATCCTAAAAAAACTCTTTGATGTCATAACAATCTCCTTTTTGCCACTAGTACATACCTCAAATATCTCTTTCCCCTCTCTCTTTCAGATGAATTCTCCATAAGGTTTCAGCAAACCCAAATATTGGTGCTCACTAATGAAGCCTGTGCCAGATACTGGGGTGAAAATATTAAAAATACCAACATATGTGGAAGAGTTGCTAGGTCAACATCATGTGTGGTAGGTAACTGTTGACGTGTGTTCTTATTAAATGGTAGAAATTTAGCCCTGGATTTGGTGGTCACTGTTATGGCAGATATATAAACCTCTGAAGACATTTGGTACTGAATATAACTGGTATAACCAGAGGCATTAGTAGACACAGGAAATTTCCTTATTCCAGTTAGACCATTGCTCAATTTAGATCAATATCATCTACATCAAAGTGAAGAACATGGGGCCACAGGCATCATGCAGCCCACTAGAGCCACCTTTGTGGACAGCAGCCCCCCTTTTTTATGAAAAACACGGGGGTTGACTTCTAGTTCCTTTCCTGTAATTAAAAAAGGGCTTTCCTGGGACTAAAATAGTCTCTTTATGGACTATCAGGGAGCAAAATGTCACATTTTTGGAAGTATAGCAGGGATGTGTGGCACTCCAAGGTCTACTAGGGAGCCCTGGTGGGGTAGTGGTTAAATGCCTTTACTGCAGACACTCACTTATAAACCACAAGGTTGCGAGTTCAATACTAGCCAGGGCTCAGGCTTGACTCAGGCCTGCATCCTTCTGAGGTCACTAAAATGAATACCCAGCTGTTGCAATTAGCTTATAGTTGTAAACTGCTTAGACACTGCATAGCGTGGTATGAAGCAGTATATAAATGAAGCTGCTTTGCTTTGCTTTAGGGGCCAGTGTGTCCCCAACTCCTGATATTGTCTACCCCTAATCTATGCTGCCTTGCATGGATCACACAGGTTTCAGACAGGGTCATTATCAAAATTTAATCTGGCTCCTCAGCAAATGCCTGTCTAATATGGGAGACTCAACTAAAAACTGCTGCTGCAATCCACCACTGCCAAAAAGAGTGCTTAGAGAGGCCAGGAATTGAAAATGGCTACTTCCATACACAAAATATGTATTCTGCAATGAGCTGTTGCCCACCCCAAAATGATATGAAGAAAAGGAATGTCAAGAAATACCTTGTTGATTGACTGAATATATATGAGAAAGATGTAAATTCCTTTTAGAATTAAAGGAGAATATGATATGCATATGCATAGGCATGATCCATAGAAATTGTTGGCTTAGAATCAACAGGGCTTCTTTGAACAAAATATGCTCTTGAGGATGCAATTCTAAGTATTCATATTTGGGAATATTGTATAGAAACTGATGGGTATTATTTCTAGGCTGAGATGATTAGGGTCTGTCAAAATTACTGCTGACTTTCTTAAACTATTTTCCTTATTAATCTGTTACTCAGCCACCAGTTTGTAACTGTCACTTTAATTTTCTTGAGAGCACCAACTATGGGTGAAACTACTTCCTTTGGTACCCTCCTTAAGGAATCTAACCCAAAATTGTTAGTAGCATGGTTAGTTATTCAAGCTCCAGACAAGCCTTTCTTTGAAACAATAATAAAACTTTTTTTAAAAAAAAGAATTAAACAATGTTTTGCTAGTTGAGATGGTGAATACATTTGTTTTCCATCTTTCTGCCTGTTCATTGGCCCTATGGCATTTCTCTGAAAGATCTCGATTTTCTTTGTCTTTAGAGTTTAGCATACTCTTCAGTCTGGCAATATCTCTGTACAGATCCTTAGTTTTCACCTTCATGTTAACAAATTCATTTTGCTCTTTATTGACTTTTTGATGCAGAATCTGATTTTTCTTTCTAAAATCATATAGTTGCTCTTGTAGCTTCTCATTTTCTTTTATTAAAGCATCTTTCTGTCATTCTGAATAAGTTTATTATTAACATCATTAAGCAGTTCATGTGATCTGGCAATATATTTTTCATATCTGTATAGTGCTTCAGTAGAATGTTTAAATGACTGTTTCATCTCAGAAATTATCCACTCTAAATCTGAAATAGCCTTTTCTTTAATAGCCAACCTTTCTTCAAAAGTATTAATTTTCTTTTTTTTTCCCCATAAGGTCTTGTAAAGACTCTTTTTCTGATTCCGGTGTAGTTATTTTTTCCTTGAATGTGTAATCAACTTTATTTTTTCTATTCCAGTTTCTAGTTGGATTAATGTTATTGAAGCCTCCTGCTTCTTAATCTTTTCTTTAAAGACATCCAGTTTTTCTGTTAGGCCACTGCACTTTTTCAAGGAATTATCCAGCTTCTCTTCAGCTTGTAAAAGCTTTTCATCTATTTTTTTTTTATTTAGAAGGTCTTTTTCAAAAATTAAACTCTTCATATTCTCTATCTGTTCTAGTTTTCCTGTTGTATCAACCAGGCTTTGCTGAGATAACTTTTTCATTTGAATCTCTGGCTTTCTGTCACTCTTTCATTTCTATGGCAACCTGGGCTTCAGGCCTCTGGCTATGGGTGGATCTCTTGTGGTGACATTTTTTCCACATAATATACTGGTTTAAGAATGGCTTTCTTTCCCCTAATATTTTGTTCAGCACAATCAATCTGAAGGTATCACTTTTGCCCACATTTATAAAAATTCTTATCGTCCATAGTTTCTCTGTCTGGGTGACACTCTCTAGTCCAGTTATTTCTCTTGTTCACCTCAGAGTCACACTCTCTTGGCCGATATTTTTTCCTCTCAGTTTCATTACTGTCCTGGTGTCAGGGCTTAACATTTTTCCTCTCACCAGACCTATCCTTCAAAGCTTGCCAGTTCTCAGGGATTTTCTAATCATTATACTGTGTTTTAATTACTGTGTTATGCTTCAATTCTCTCAACTGTCTCGTAAGCTGCATTTCTCTTAACTGTCCCTCATATTCTTTTCTTCCCAATTCCCTCTCATGTTGTCACTCTTTTTCTTTTCTTTTTCTCTGATATTTTCTGCCTGCATCTTTCATAATAACTGTTGGTGTAACAAAATCAGATTACCAAAATAAAGCTGTAAATCTTTATGTTTTGGCTGCATTTCTGATGTATTTTTTAAATGCATTTTTTTCATTAAATCTAAACACAACTGCAAACAGATTTTATAAAAATATATATCTAAAACAAATGTATATAAACAACATTAAGAAAACAGACTTAACTAGATTATTAAACATTAACAGGCCAAAAAGGGGGCGGAGCACCTGTCAATTTTGAGTTTGACTAAAGGTGAGGGTATTATACTACTTATCATGCATATCTTGCATTTGGAAGAAGATATCCTTCAGATCAGATGTAGGGAACTGGGGGATTTCTTTCCCCTGTTTAGCATCAGGAGATGTTTTCCCCATCTCTAGCACAGGAATAAGTTCTGGTAATAGGTCTGCAGTTTTTCAAGGAATTATCCAGCTTCTCTTCAGTTTGTAAAAGCTTTTCATCTATTTTTTTCTATTTAGAAGCTCTTTTTCATAAATTAAACTCTTCATATT